AGTGGTTTTCTTATTACATGTATTTTCCCCTAGATAAATGGCTGACAATTTGAAAGTTCTGAGTTTTTTTAATGGCTATTGCCATTTTCATTGACTGCTGATAAAGCCAAACACCTTTTATCTCGATTTCTAAAAGCGACTGAACTAAGACACGTGACATTAGCGCTAGTCTACCGCTGTGAAAGTGTTTTGAGAACGTGAATAACAAACACCATCCCATAAACTAATGGAGAGTCTTTCTTATATTCGTGGGCGGCTAAGAATTTGGAAGACAAAACATGTTAAGTAGTTTAATTGAGAGATTTCACAATACACGTTTAGATTTAAGACTAGCATACATTGCTACCGTAGCAAACACTGCATCTACTCTAAGATTTCATTTGATTTCGCATGTCGCACCTAAACTCATTTTATGATTGATAAAAGAACTAACTTAGTGAAGGAGTTTCCTGCACCACGATGGCCAACTTCTATCGTATTTCTCTTTTTCCAATGCCTACTGTATGAAACTTCCATATTCTGCGGAGGAATGGGCCGACGGAGGTTTCTCACGAACAGATACTCAACTGAACCACTTCGGTGTTACAGTGTTATATATACAGAAATGTCATAACAACTTTGCCAACCAGTGATTTGTCCAATAGGTCTTCCTGATGAGTTGATGAATGGCAGCTGTGAGAGACCACATGAATCGGACAGTGACGACGGTAAAGCGTAGCACGCACCGATTCTTTTGCCCTCTTCAGAAAAGATCTCGACATAAAACGCCTAAAGCCAGGAAATCAGAAAACGTAGCGACTGGACGCTACAAGCGCTGAGTTTCAAAGCTCTATCTGCTAGTAATCAAGGACTATGACGTAGGTCTTCTGGATTTTTTTGATGGAGAAACTGATATTTGGCATTTAGACGTTGCTTAACAGCCTTTACTAATGCAGTGAAACGACTTCTGAAATTCATCCAAAAAGAAAAACTAATGTTCTGCAGGAATTTCATTTAAGTATACCCTCTCTCCCTAACTCAATATCTCCATTCTACATCTATTCTAAATTTCTTTCAGTTGAGTGATTCTTTGA